TGCGTCCTTCACGGTGGATCCAGCCCCAGGCACTGCTTCATTCAGGCTATTCACTGTATATCAAATGTTCTGTCTTCCCCTACCACAGTGTGATTAACTTCCTCACGTACCCAGGCTCTAACACTACATGTTATTCAGCTTTTAACTGCAGATGGCCTTCTCACTTTGCTTCAGTGGCTTATCTCATTGCACTGTTTCCCCTGGCACTTGCTTTCCTCCTCATATAAAGGCCTTCTCACACATAGGTACACATGTACACACACACACACACACACACACACAAACTTAGGCACTATCTTCACCATCCTGGGCCCTGATATACCATGCTGAACCACAAGCCAAAATAACTAGGTCCTAAAGTCTATAACCACCATAAAAGAAAATTAGCACAATATATACATATATCACCCAAAGTTACCATATTGGAACACATGGTACAAGAATTTAAAATAAGCATTAAACTCAAAAAGAGAATGAAATGTGTTAGCAATATAAAACAAAAAATCAGAAAACATTAAGAAGTGAGAGGAAATAATAGATATGGAAAATAGGAGAGTTGAAAGAAATATAGTAATTGATAGGGTAGGTAGATGAAACAGTCATAGAGAGAGATAACTGGAGAATAAATTCAAGAGCTGGGAGATCTGATTGACCTTTTAGATCCAGAGAGGTATAGAAAAGGATAAGTAGAGAAATACAAAATACAACTAAAAGATACAGTGGATTAAAATGGAGTTCTAGAAACAATATTAGAAGAAGGAAAAAATGTAAGAGAAAAAATGGTTGAAAAAGAAATAATAATCTTTCCAGAAAAAAAAAGGAAAAAACACACCTATACATTTTATAGTTAAATTCAAAAAGCACAAAAATAAAGAGAAAAATTCTAAAAGTTTCCATGGTGAAAAAGGGTCCAATGTTTCAGGTGCTGCACTAGAAGGAGACAGTCTCTCTAGGTTGTAATTCCATCATCCCTGGGGATTTGGGATAGAAAACGGACCCCAGAGTGCAGGTTTGTTCAAGCCTTTTTACTCCAGTGGATATGGGAAGGCCAGCTAAACCCAATTTCTGTTCCATTATTTAGGCTCCCCTTTTTCACTGTTTGTTCATAATCATACGCATTTTTACCTAAGTTCAATAATTATGTATATCCTTCTGTATTCTGTTCTTTTCACTTATAGTGTATCCATGTTTCTACATATTCTTCGTACATTTTAACAGCTACACAATTTTCTAAGTCATTTCCCTGTTAAGGATGTTTATGTTGTTTTCTGTAATTGCTATTATAGATTATACTGCAGAGAGTTGAATTATTCCTGTAGGATAAATTTCAAAGTACAGGATTGTTATTGTTCTTGCTATGAAAAGTAATATTGCCTTACCAATGGGTTGATTAAATTAGCAATGCCAACAGCAGCAGACGAGTCTTTACAGAAAGTTTTTTTAGAGCATGATTTTTCTGATATTTATTACTAAAATTTTAATTGTGATCATGGTACTGATTCTAATGAAGAAAAACAGACTTTATGCATATTTATGTTCAGAGGTGAGTATGGAATAATATAAAACAATATGCATCAGGATCAGCACATTTGTGAAGATGTAAATAAAGAGATGAAAAGTAGCTCTTTGCTATATAAATATGTCATTATTTTGACCTGGTCTTTTCCTAGTGATACATAAGGAAGTCCTTCTGTCAGTTGGAAGGATCCAATATAAATATAGCATTCTTCCCAGAGCAAAAGATTATGTTTATTTTCTCCATCCTCTGTGCTTCTTTTAAATAGTTCTAGACTTCAAGATGTAGAAGGCAGAATAAGATAATTTGAAATCTTTCTGTACAAATGTTTAAGATCTCTGAAGGAAATTTAAAAGCAGTTCTCAAAAAATAAACTAAAATATAACCAAATATACAGAAGCAAAAATGAAGACAGAATTAACAATCAGAGAAGTAAGTAAAAGAGTTGCAACACTGTTTCCTAGTTTTGAGAAGTTATGGGTCTTGGTAAAATTAGAATGGGAATATAGCATCCACAGTGGGACAAAAGACATGGTCATGTTCCCATGGAGGCAGGGAGCTAGAAGACCTCTACATCAAACGGTGGGTATAGTGTGGGTGTGGGAAGACTAGAGAGAAATAAACCCACCCATAATAGAGGAAAACTTTCTTCTTTCTGAGCTCTGGATGATGAAAAAACATTAAAAATCTCCCTTTAAAAATAAAAAATCCTGTCTTAGAATGTTCCCTACAATTGTACTATAGAAACTGTGGGCCAAACAATTAGCATGAAAATTGTTCCCATGCCAGAGATGCCTTTGGGATGCCTGGCAAAAGGAAACGCAATACTGGGGAAAATGTATCTGAGAAATAACCACCTAGAGAAAGATGGAACAATTATGTTAATATCAAGCAGAGGGAAGCAGGAGATGACTTTAGGAAAAAAGTTGGGGATAGAGTAGAATTATGAGGAATAGTTCATCAGAAACATGTAGTAATTCCAAACTTGTATAAAACTATCAAACTTGTCTAAAATACGTGAAAAAAAGTTTTGTAGTATTGCTAGAATAAATTGATAAATTTTATATTATTTTGGGAAACTTTAACATGTTTCAGTAATTAACAGAGCAAACATATAATTTAATTGGTAAGTCTGTAGCCACAATATTTTAAAATTTGACCTACTGGACACATATGTGGAATGCTGCACCCATGAATTTTCCTATTCCAATGCATATTCTTCATAAAATGCTTACTGAAAAATTTAGTTCTCTATATATCAGTTGCAATAGCCTAAAGGGTCACAAAATAAATCTCATCTAATATCAAGGTAGAACACAGACCTTGCTTTTTGTTCATAAATTAAAAATTATATATCAATATCAAAACAGTAATTCACACATTATACACAGTTATTTGAAAATTATTTGAATTAATACAGGTATTATAGAAGAAATTAAAATAGAAGTTTTAAAAATTTAGAATCTGTAGTATAATAAGACCATATATAAAAATTAATATGCTGTAGCCACAGAGAAAATCTGTCACTTGAATGCATGTGTGTGTATGTATATACATAATGTGTCATTATTGGTCTATCAATCACAACAAACATTCCACAGCAATGCAAGATATTAATAATAGGAGCTTGGGTGAGAGAGAGTATTTGGGAACTGTGTACTTTCTGCTCAGTATTTTTGTAAAACTAAAATGCTCTAAAAAACAACGTCTGTTAATTGAGAACAAACAAAAATGCATAGTACCTAAATTAAAAGCACAGTCCTCAGGCTGTAAGTAGATTTACTCACAGACAGATAAGAAACTCAGGCATTCTCTAAAGGCCTCTTTACTTTTGTTTTGGTTATTATTTTAACGGATTTAGGGTACTGATTTTTCATGTAATTTGTTTGAAAGGGTACATGAGGGAAAGAAGTAACATATTTATTATTACAATTTTTATCTACCAGTAAGAAGTGACATTTGTGGGCCTGCCAGTATAATATGGCTACTTTGCAGTAGCTGCTTTCAAATTTGCTGCAATGCCCTGACACTACCACCTGGCTACTCTTAAACCTCTGTTTTTTGTTTTGTTTTGTTTTGTTTTTGAGGCGGAGTTTCGCTCTTGTTACCCAGTCTGGAGTACAATGGCGCCATCTCGGCTCACCGCAACCTCCGCCTCCTGGGTTCAGGCAATTCTCCTGCCTCAGCCTCCTGAGTAGCTGGGATTACAGGCACGCGCCACCATGCCCAGCTAATTTTTTGTATTTTTAGTAGAGACGGGGTTTCACCATGTTGACCAGGATGGTCTCGATCTCTTGACCTCGTGATCCTCCCGCCTCGGCCTCCCAAAGTGCTGGGATCACAGGCTTGAGCCACCGCACCCGGCCTTAAACCTCTGCTTTAAGTAAAACTTTAAAGACGCTGAGAACCACCTCCCAACCCAGACTTCTCAGGATCTGTCAAATACAGGATTAACACGTTTCACCTCCAGAGACCATGTCAATTCTGTGACTAGAGCCCCTCCTGATTGGTGTCTTTGCCTTATTTGCAAGATTTTGAATATCAAACATAAACAGAAAAATTCAAAGAGGTAGAGAAATTAGTATAGATTTAGAATAGAGGTAAGGACCTACAAACCCCGATACAAATAAAAACTCCAATATAGGAAAACAGGTACAGCTTTAAGAATCTTTATCCTTTTATGTGTGTAATGCTTTATTTACCATTTTTAAAGTGTTAATAAAACAGTGAGTCATACTGGAAAGGTTATCATCCACGCGATCTTTATCTGAAAATAGAAATGTATTCAATATTCTTTGGAAATGTTTTAATCTATTTTTCCCTTTTCAAAAATATGTGTTGCCCATATCTCCTGAAGTTCTTCTGAATGCTCTCATAATGAACCCCCCATTGCAGCACTGAATGTGAGGTTTAGAAGTGCCTATTTATGGCTCTGAGGTTCAAAGAGGCTAGCAATTGTATCTTAGTCATCAGTGCATAACAAGCACCTAAAATAGAATCTGCACCAAGTATTGAATAAATATTTGTCAAAAAAAGTATAACTTTGGCTATCTGAGAACATTCTATTCTCTGAAATTCTTTTGCTGATGATATTGGATAAATAAATGTTAAGATTTTAAAAATACAATAAAATAGGCCGGGCGCGGTGGCTCAAGCCTGTAATCCCAGCACTTTGGGAGGCCGAGGCGGGTGGATCACGAGTTCAACAGATCGAGACCATCCTGGTCAACATGGTGAGACCCTGTCTCTACTAAAAATACAAAAAAATTAGCTGGGCATGGTGGCGCGTGCCTGTAATCCCAGCTACTCAGGAGGCTGAGGCAGGAGAATTGCCTGAACCCAGGAGGCGGAGGTTGCAGTGAGCCGAGATTGCGCCACTGCACTCCAGCCTGGGTAACGAGCGAAACTCCGTCTCAAAAAAAAAAAAAAAAAAAAAAAAATAAAATATAAAGAAATAAAAGTCTTTGAATTTTTGTTTTTTCAGAAATAAGAGTCGTCAGCTTGCAAGTTCAGACAGTCACAAAACTGAAAACAGTAACTAACGTTGTTGGATATGTAATGGGCTTGACGTCTCCAGGTAAGTAAGGTTAAATATTTATAATCTACACTTTATATGAAACTTTACAAGGAAATGCTCTGACATAATTTAATATCACACTTAAATATTCTACTTTAAATATAGCAAGAAATTTGTCCCATGCTTAGATTAGATAAATTTGAAACTAAGAAGTAGGTCTTTGTTCTCTTTCCTACCATATCTCTTCAAAAATAAATCTTGTAGAGAGAGAGATGGTGGGGGGGGGTCTCTCAGGAGGAGATAAAACAAACAGAGTTTAGATTTGCTAAACTGGCATGTTCTACAAAAGCCAAACCTTCATATATATATATATATTCACCATAACACCGTTGAAAAGTTTATCAAGAAGACATTTTAAAGAATTATTTTCTTTCTCACTGCAACCTCCGCCTCCCGAGTTCAAGCAATTGTTGTGCCTCAGCCTCTTGAGTAGCTGAGACTCAGGCGCCTGCCACCATGTGTGGTTAATTTTTTAATTTACATTTTTAGTAGAGACAGGGTTTTGCCATGTTAGCCAGGCTGGTCTTCAACTCCTGTCCTCATGTGATCCACCCACTTTGGGCTCCCAAAGTTCTGGCATTACAGGTGTGAGCCAGTGTGCCTGGCCAAGAAAGATTTTAGCTATTAAGTGTTTTTCTTTCCTTTTTTTTTAAAATGAAAATTTGGTCTCCAAATTTAGTTGTCCAGTTTTAATCTAAGTCCCACTCTGTATCCTTGGTCCGTTGCCAAGTTTGTCAAATGTCTGCATGGCTTTAAGTTTTGAATGTGCTTGTAAAAATGGTCCCCTGCAGCTACTTGGGAGTCTGAGGCAGGAGGATCCCTTGATCCTGGGAGGCAGAGGTTGCAGTTAGCTGAGATTATGCCACTGCTCTCTAGCCTGGGCAACAGAGCAAGACTGTCTCAAAAAAAAAAAAAAAAAAAGGAACAAAGGAACAAAAAGAAAAGGTCAAAAGGTCACCTGTTAGATTTTTTTTTAATAATTTTACACCTAGTTAAGAACTACTGATGGAATCCTCAGATGTTATGTAAACTAAAATGAGTAAAAATAAATGTCATATATTAATTAAGACATTACTAGTGATACTTCCAAACGCATTGTAAAGCTGAATCACATATTACTATGTGATGTGCCTGTTACACAGTGTAGCATGTAACAATCTTTTTATTATACTTTTGCTACTTCTATTGATTTTGAGATATTTACTTAAGTTCTCCTTGGAGAATTATTATTCTCCATGGCTTAGTAAAATTGACCTAGTTGCTAGCTCAGAATTTTAAGATCAAGTTTTATAGCCTCCCAGTTTCTTGCTGGCCAACTCTTTTAAAATTCATGAAAACCACTTATTTTCTCTGATTTTTTTAGTTACAGTGTTGAACAACCTCTTATCATATTGTCTTTGATATAAGATATAAAGAAATTTGAAATTGTTACTATTGAATTTTAACAAATTTCCATTATAAGGCTCTCAACTGATGCACTAGAATATTTATCATCATTGATACACTTGCAAGTTGTTACTGGAAAACCTAATTGTACAAATTATACTAGCGTTAGAAGGAAGAAAATTCAATCTACAAAATAAGCTCCTAGAATTAAAAATCAATTTTACAATTATTATTCTTCAGTGTAAAATATGCAAACCTTCTCAAATGTTGCTTATTTGAATTTTACAAAAAAAAACCTGACTTTATTTACTTGACTTTTTATTTAATGGCTTTGAACATTAGAAACAATCATCAATTAGCCTTGTTTCTTAGATATGGTTTATTTAGAAGGCAAACAATTCCAAGCAAAACTTTGAGACTTTTATGGGAGGTAAGTGAATAAATTCTTGAGTTTTCAGCATTTACAGACACACTACGTATGCCATTAATTAAATCTTAATAAAATGTTGGCAGATCAAATCCATTGCCAGTTTCTGTATGGAAAACTGAAATATCTTCATACTGTGGCATTCTCGTAAGGTAGCTTTTTGGTGTTGTACGTCAAAGGGTGATTTATTTATTGCACACGTGTAAGACCTACTTTGTGGTAGGCATTGTTCAAAGTGGCAGACAAATAGTAACTTCTCAAGCTCAAAACAACTAAATTAAGGATGTGCTATTTGTTTTCCTACCTTAGAGCTGGCAAAAGTAAGGCATTGAAAGTTGAAATAAGCTTTCCAAGGTCACACAACCAGTGACTTGCAAAACTGGATTCAAACACAAACAGGCTGGATTCTGGGTCTGCACAATTTACCATCAAGTAAAATGATGTTCAATGAAGAAAAAATTTTGCACAGATGTATGAGGATAATTGGTCAGATCAATTCAGATATGTTATTAATACCAATAACACTCACTGACAACAAAATCAGAGGAAACTCTCAAGGGACATTTTCAGCTTTATTATTGAAAATATTCAGTAATATACATTGAATAGGCTACTTCCATGTGAAAGGAAGGCTCTCCAATAGTGTATCTAATACATTCTGAATGATTGTATGAAATAAAATGTGTACAATGGCAACTTTTACAACAGTTGAATGACTTTTGATATTGGTGAATTTTATTTTATTTTTTCTTCACAGAAAGGAGAGGGCCTGAAATTATAAGTTGGAAGCTATAATTAATTCCCTATGCAATTAATTTATTGCAGAATCCAGACATGACTACTACATTTTTCATATTTAAAGCTACTGTATAAGTGCTTTCTCAAATGTATTAATAGTTTGTTAATATTTACTGAGCATACATACATTGTTTACGGGGCACATCCCATTCTGATTCCAGAAAATGTTAGATAAGGGTTTCATTGTGGCATGTTTGTATGCTTCATTAATTAATATTCATATTATAAAGGAGAGTAATGTGAAGCTAAGCCTTGGTTTTATAATTGGGTTCAGCAGCTGCCTCTGCTTTTATATACACAGATGTGTGAATTAAGACAGTGGGCAAAAATATTAAAATAGTCTTAATTATTAGAACAATTTTGCTTAATTATTGCTCAGTTGTGCAATAGGATTATGTAAATGTCATTAGATTTATTGTTAAGGTTTACTTTTTTTAAATGGCTCTTGTCCCTTTCTATTTTCAGACCGGTATATCATAGTTGGCAGCCATCATCATACTGCACACAGTTATAATGGACAAGAATGGGCCAGTAGTACTGCAATAATCACAGCGTTTATTCGTGCCTTGATGCCAAAAGTTAAGAGAGGGTGGAGACCAGACCGAACTATTGTTTTCTGTTCTTGGGGAGGAACAGCTTTTGGCAATATTGGCTCATACGAATGGGGAGAGGTAAAATATACATTAATTACAGTGCTTTTCTTAATTTGCTAAAGTAGATGAAGTAAAATTGTGGAAGCCCAGGGCAATAATGTGCTTCTCAACCAAAATGTCATATGAATAGTTTGCTGAGATGGTTTCTAAGAATAAGAGGAAATTAGAGCTAGACCACAGCAAACTACCAATGACCTTCAAATGTCTTATCCCTGTTGTTACCAGACTTACAAACCCTGATGCGATCTAACCCATCACAGTGTTTACCTGATTATGTATTTCTCCTTAGAAGACAGGTTGACAGGCACTGGACAAAAAAAGGGCCAGATGATGCATATTTTCTTTCTTTTTCTACACTTTCTAGGAGTTATCTGGAATTAGGGAACAATCTCCTATACTAAATGTTTATTACCTTAGCGTTATATTTTATCTAAACACTATGGATATTGAATGTAAAATAGCAGTTACTTTCCTTCCTTCCTCACTCCACTTTTTCCTCCTTGTACCACTCCCCCCTTCACCCTTATCTCTCTACCTTTTGTTTCCTACCTGCCTATCTGTGGCTTACTGACCTCCCTAACCTCTTTAGGAAACCTGTATCCAAATGAAACCTAGCATACAATGAGGTACAGTTAGAATACAACTGGAATATTGGAGAGTTTTAAGTCTCAAATGCTTCTGACAGGTCTGTGTCTCATAAATGCACTGTATTTTAATGGAATATGATAACCGATAACTGGATCAACAGAAATTCTATTAACTTTTGTGATTTGTTTTAAAAATAAGATTCAAAAGACATACGTAGACCAAATATGTACACCAGTAAAATAGACAATTTTACTAGGAAAGTAAAATAATATAATTTTGTAGTTTTTTCCACTACTTTAGCTTTGAGAAGAAAAATTTAATAAGAAATTATTTTGCTACATTTTTATTTTTAATTATGCAAAAAAGATAAGATATATGAAATCAAAGAAAATATTTAAAAAGTTATAGAAAAGAAAATAGCAAGTATTTTTAATTTGAAGGAAAGAAAAGACTTAAAGATGAGAAAATTTTTTCAGTGTAAAATTCATCAAGATTCACACATTGCAAATTGGAATGCTTTTCTGTATGCAAATGAGTGGTGTGAATGTTTAAGCCATATTCAAAATGAATGAATTCAAATGAAAAAATGTCATTGCTTAAAGAATATTTTTAAGTTGATAAGTTTGTAAGTAAGCTGGAAATAAATAGCCAAACCAAAGTCTCAAACGCATATTCCAAATTTCTTTAAAGATTGGTGAACAAGTTAAAGAACAATTTAGGGAAAATATTTGTAATCTACAGCATTATTAGTAAATCAGAAAAAAATGAAATTAATGTTTTAAATTTCCTGTAACAATAAAGCACATATTTTTAAAATGTCTCAAAGATTCTTTTCGAGTTTTAAAGATGCATTTTACTATATCAAAATGTATTTTAGGTCTCTTATATACCTATCTAGTAACTTACACAATTAATTTATGTTAATTCTAAATTAATATGTATATTTCTGAACTATGTTTTTGAGTAGTCTTGTCAAACTAGTAGTTTCTACTGTAAGCATCCTCAATGCATAGGAAATTTATTATGAAGTTAGTTGAGCATCAAATGTCAGAGTTTGTAAGTTGAATCAATGTGGTCTTGCATGCGTGTGAGCAATAGTTTGTGTCAAATTAAGCTGATATTTTTGTGGTTAATACACATTCATTTTTAAGTTTTTGTGAAGTCATTATACCTTTTGATAACTGTGTATTTTCTTAGTCAATGATGCTAAAAATACAACAACTACAATGTGGGAGTTCACAGGAAAAAATTTTGTTAGAAAGGTTATTCCTATTCAAAACAATTAAGCATCAATGCATTTGAATGTTTCTAGATATATTCACGTTTGGCAACTGATTATACATTCAGTCATTTTCTGGCATTTTAAGTGACTAGATGAGCAAAGACATATGAGTAATGAAAATGGTAAATAATATACATTTGATTATTGGCTTATAAAATGTATTTTTATAATTTACTGTGTCTCATCAGAATTTTTCAATGTACTTCATGAAGCCATTTTGTAACCATCCAGTTGAAATTTGGAAAACTGCTAGTTTTCGTGTTTTGCCTAGTCATATCAAATCTACTCCAGAGAATGCAAGAGTTTATTTTAGATTGAAACTAATTTATGCTATAAATATACTCCTTTGTGAAGGGGGGTGAGAAAAGCCCTTATTGACATGTCATATTGCCCCATTTAATTTTGCTTGCATAGAAACCTCTGGAAACCCACAGTTGTAGTTAAGAGGATTAGGTAATGTTGACAAATAAACTTAACAATGGAAATTATGGACAGAATTATTAGAGAACTGATTCAATTCTGATCTTGGTCTTTGAAGAAAATTGTAACATTTTGCTAAATAAGTTCTTTAAAATGTACCATTTTATTTCTGTGAAGAATCTTCATTTGTCAGAGGCCATTGTGGAAATATTACAGATATTGGAGTGAAAGAAGTCAGAGTTCAAATTCCCTCTACCATAGAACATGTCGTCTTAGGCATGATTAACTTCTCTAAGACTTGATACCTCAAATGAGTCTACTACTTACCTATCTTCTGAGGTTTTCATGAGAATTACATAGACTGATATATGCACAGTGTCTATGTGGTAATGTGTTAATAGAAGCTGATTTTTCATAGCACTTAACAGATATTTTTTCAACAATATTATGGAGAAATTACTCAAGCTTAAAATTCATCACTTATGTGCACTTAACATGTTTATTAATTTTGAATGATTGTCTTTTCTGCTGTCTTACAGAGGTATAGTTGAATTTTCAACATAAAATATGAATAACAGTGAAACATGCAATATTTATGTTTCTGTCCCTGGTTTCTTTTACTTAGCATAATTATACAATGTGTATACATATTTTGCAATCCCATCCATGGTATCAGAAGGAGAGAAGTTTCTTGTTGTTCAAGTCTAAATTGTCTTCCATTGTGTATATATAACATATTTTCTTTACGCATCTGGAGCAGAGTGTAGAATGTGGTTATAGCCTGGGGTATGGAGGAAATGTGGAGAAAATGGTCAGCTTCTATATATCTTGTATGCTGTGGTGAATATACTTAGTAGTAAAGTATATTACACTTAAAAATTGTTGAGTTATATGTTCTCATCACAAAAAAATGTTAAGTATTTGAGGTGATGAATATGTTAACCAGCTTAATTTAATTATTTTACATTATATTCATAAATCATAACATTACTTTGTACTCCGTAAAATTATACAGTTTTAATCTGTCAATTGACAATGAAAAAAAGTAAAATAGGATGAAATTATCGATTTGATGGGTATGGGAGTCCTTGTAGTCTTTCATTTCATAGTTTTGGAAGAAGAAAGATACTTTCCCAAGTTGTGATGTAATGTAATCTTCTAGGACATTTCTGTAGAACTGTTGCTGTGACAATTATTTGTTAAATGCTTGCATGATCAAGGAGAGAAATAACAGAAAAAATTAGTGGTTCTTGTTAATAGGATCGGTGATCTTCAATTTTATGGGGTAAGGAGCAGAAGAGAAGTGGAGAACTATTCGATGGAATCATTTAGTGCTGTTCATGTGCATGAAATGCATTCATTGTTTTGTAGGGTAATATTTGCAGGATTACTTTGTATTATGCCCCATTTTGCTCATAATACAGGGTTATTCTGTGCAGAGTAGCTCACTGCTTCAAAAGAAAAGCGCTGTTTTTATTCATCACTGAAGTGGTTTATCTGTATCTCTTCTTTTATTCAATGACACCAAAATTAAGTTGCATTCATATTCTGTAGTTGAATCCATACTATGTTAACCTTTGAAGAATATTTTCTATTAAAATTTGACTTGTGTCAGGTGCATGCTTTGAAATATTTTAGTGTATGTTATATCTAACTCTTACTACTTTTATTTAAAATTCATTTATTACCTTTGTGTACACTATTAAATAGCATAGGATCACTTTTTTAAGAAAGTAATTCTGCAATGTAATAATTTGAAGTATGAAATGTTCATTATTTAACATCTAAAAAAGTAGAATCTATTTATTTGTGTCACAGATAGATCTTTTTTTTCTTTTTTTTTTTTGGATTTCAGGATTTCAAGACGGTTCTTCAGAAAAATGTTGTGGCTTATATTAACCTCCATAGTCCCATAAGGGGTAATTCTACTCTACGTCCTGTAGCATCACCATCTCTTCAGCAACTGGTAGTAGAGGTAAGATAAACCACTGTTGTATCAGATCATTATGCAAAACTGCCCTTATCTCTATATTTTGGCATTTCTTGATTTTTTAATTCATTTTTAAATATGCATAATATATTGCTTAAGAGTTTTAAGAAATGATGTATTGCTGATACTTATCAATATACCTTAACTAATTTCTTATGTTCTGAAATTCTTCACTTGCTGCCTTTTTATGGTTATAGTTCTAGAAGACATGAATACACAGTTATGGAGAAGGTATACTATATATATATATATATATATATATATATATATATATATATTTTAAAATCTGAATTTAGTACTCAAATTTCCAATTATGTAATCTTGACATTTTAAAATTAACTTTATTACTTTTGGATTCCTTCTCCTTCATTCATGTTTTAAGTAGATTTAGGACCTGTGCTATTTTTACAACTGCAGTGTAGGCCCCCTGAGAACAAAACTATAGTGATAACTAAATTTGAAATGTTAGAAAATATTGTTTGAAAAAATACTTGTGGAAAAAGAATGCATGTTTTTACTAAGTATCCTGAAAAAACAAAATATTTTTATGCCTCATTGGAGTTATTTTTTAAAAATATTTTATCACTTCTCACCTATTTTTAAAAATTTAGCAGAATATTTTTTCCTGTTTATTAGTAGGGTTCACGCTTTTATTTCTGCATTCTTATTATAAATTTCACTACAGATAAAATATGCGCTATTATTTCTCAGTGTAAAAATAATTATACCACAACTTAGAGATGATTTCCTATTAGCCTCAATGTCTGTTGCTGTATATTGGAACCAATCTTTCAGACGCCCACAGGACTCTTTAGGGAGTATTGCAGGAACTGAACTGGAAAAAGAGAGATAATGAACAGAGCTTGGAATTCGCCATAACTTTTTATTAAAATGTAGTGGAAACCAACATTTTTCATAAAGTGTTTTTAGCTTAATAGTTTTTATTGGAACTTCCATATGTAGTACATTAAAGAAGAGATTTTGAAACATGAAGTAGATAATTCTGTACATTTAAGATCAGCCAAGCCCCTGTGTGCATGCCCTAAATTATGTCCATATCAGTGAGTTAATTTCTCCTGCTCTGTGTACTATTTGGAATTCCCTGACTCTTACCTGCCTGGAAAATTTGCAAAAGCATATCAGCCTCCAATGTCTCTCTTGGCTTTTTAAGATATTTCTGAGTAAGTGGATTCTAATGTAGAATAAACAATAATCTCAAATATCCAGAACTAGAAGAGGGTTGGTTTAAAATGTGTCATTTTCTTATCATATGTGATAATTTTTCTAGTTTGAAAAATCTTAAAGATATATAATCATTGAAATTAATTGGTAAATAGAAATAGTAAATTATTAAGAAGTATCAAACCTACATAATGTTATTTCTGAAAATATAATGCTATTTAAAATATCTTTGCACATCTTATAACAGGACTAAAATATTTTAGTATGTAAACCTAATTATGTGAGAATATAGCATGGTTTCTCAATCATGAGTGATGATTGATTATTCATGAATGATGACATACATGTCAACATGTACCTCACTTTTTGGAAGAGGAATCTTTTTTGTTCTATAATTGAAAATGTTTACACACTAACAAATTTAATAATGAACTGTAATATGTATAGAAAATATTTTTTTCCATTGAGATTGTGTGTCTCTGTGTGTGTGTGTGTGTGTGTGTGTGTGTGTGTTCATGTTTCATAGAACAGCATGGAAGGTTAAGAATATCACAATTTCAAGTAAATGATAGCATTATGTAATTTCAAACAGTGCGATTACATATATATATATATAATTTTATGGAATGAATATATATAACTTAGGATATAATCTCATGCAAACACTTGGAACCAACCCAAATGGTCGTCAATGATAGACTGGATAAAGAAATGTTGCACATATGCACCATAGACTATTATGCAGCCATAAGAGAGGATGAGTTCATGTCCTTTGCAGGGTCATGGTAAGCTGGAAACCATCATTTCGGGAAACTGACACAAGAACAGAAAACCAAACACCACATATTCTCACTCATAAGTGGGAGTTGAACAATGAGAACAAATGGACACAGGGAGGGGAACGTCGCATACCAGGGCCTGTCAGGGGGTGGGGGGATAGGGGAGGGAGAGCAGGGGATGGGGGGATAGGGGAGCAGTAGTATTAGGAGAAATACCTAATGTAGATGATGGGGCGATGGGTGCAGCAAACCATCATGGCATGTGTATACCTATGTAACAAACCTGCACGTTCTTCACATGTACCCCAGAACTTAAAGCATAATAATAAAAAAATTATATGTATTTTTAAACTCTTAAATATATAAAGGCCTATATGTTTTATAAACACTCAAATGTATAAATGTTAAGAGATAGGAAGAAAACAAAACTTTACAGTAATTTACATGTTTAATTAAAACAATTAAACACTAGTCAAATTTAAAAGAAATATTAAAAATGTTTCTTTCAAATAAAAAAAAACTAAAATGATAACATCAGAACATATGTAACTTCACTTCCAACATCAAAGATTTCATCAGTGATTAAGGACAAAATATTTCATTAATTCATTTAGATTTTTTTTTTTTTTTGAGTATACATGCAGTAGTGGGATTGCTGGGTTGAATGGTAGATTTAGTGTTAGTTCTTTGAGAAATCTCCATACTGTTTTTCACAGAGGTTGTACTAATTTACATCCCCACCAACACACCAACAGCATATAAACATTCTCTTTTCACCACATTTATGTCAATATCTATTTTTAAATTTTTTAATATTGGCCATTGTGGCTGGGATAAGGTGGTATCTCATTGTGGCTCTTTTATTTGCATTTCCCTCATGATTTGTGAAAAATGCTTATTGTCTAAATTGTAAATGACACAGGACTGTATAGAATATCTAATCCTTTGTATAGAAATATGTAGATTATAATACATCTCATCAAGTTCATATGGTAGATTTAAATATATAAGATGAAATATTTGAAGTATTAGTATCAAATAGTGCATCTAATTTTTTAGAAACTAGACACACACATATAGCATGTTTTAAAGATTACAAGCTTGCTATGAAACAAAACTGTAAAATTATTGTCCTAAACCAAACACCAGTTTTAACTACATTGACAGCATGTTATTCCAATCAAGGAGTTGGGAGTCCTCCTGTATTTGCTCTATCAGGCAATGTCTCGGTATGATATTCTTATCACTCTAGTCATAACTACTAGATATGCTGAGGTAGAATTCACATAGAGTAAGATTATCCACTCTTAAGTGTACAGCTTGATGAATTATGACAAATGTATATAATCATGTATGCACAATCATAATCAAGATATACAGCATTTCTATGACACAGAAAGTTCCATTATACTCCTTTTCATTTCAATCTTCTCCCTTCATCTTTAGTTTTTGGCAACCACTGACCCCATTTTTACCCCTCTAGTTTTGCCTCTGATAATATTTTAAAAACTGGAATCATACAATGCATATTTCCTTACGTGTGGCTTCTTTTACTTAGCATAATGATGTTTAAGATTTACCTGTGTTGTTACCTGTGTTAATAGTTCATCTTCTAGACCACTGAGAAAGTAATTGGAACGGAGGCGAGTGCAATACCTTTGGATCGCTCTCTCCAGTTTGATATGCTGACTTTGATTTTAAAAGGAGAGGACTTCAGAAATTAAAATTGAGAAAAGAAGTCAATTCCCTGAGGGTAGTCCACTAAATGTGAACTCTATCACCCTGACAGGAGAGGATGAAATCTTTTGAAGATCCAGACAGGTTTAATGAGTCTGAATTATAGGTTTTTTTCTTAGCATTTATGAAACATTTGACCTTAAAAAGATGTCTGAAGAATGATGAAAATCTGATGGTTGGGTAATGGGAATGTGTGGGTCCATTGTCCTACTCTGTTTTCTTTTGGATTTAATTGTAAGTATTTGTTATAACTTGGAAAAAATATTTTAAACTACTTTATTTTTCTAAGTTATAACACAGATAATTAAATTAAATACGAAGATTCCCTTTTCTCCACATACTCACTGATGCCGATGAAGGCCAGCATTTATTATTACCTGTCTTTTAAATAAAAGCCATTTTAACTCGGGTGAGATGGTATCTAATCTTAGTTTTGATTTACAGTTCTTTGATGATGAATAATGCTGAGCATCTTTTCATATGCCTGTGTGCCATTCGTATGTCTTCTTTTGAGAAATGTCTATTCAGATCTTTCACCCATTTTTGAATCAGATCATTATATTTTTTCCTATAGAGTTGTCTGAGCACCTTACATATTCTGGTTATTAATCCCTTGTCAGATGGGTAGTTTGCAAACATTTTCCCCCCATTTTTTGTGTTATCTCTTCCTCTGTTGATTGTTTCATTTTTGTTGTAGAAGCTTGTTAACTTGATGTGATCCCATTTGTTCAGGTTAGCTTTGGTTGCCTGTGTTTGTATTACTCAATAAATGTTTGCCTAGACCAATGTACTGCAGAGTTTCCCCAGTGTTTTTTTGCAATAGTGACTAGTTTGAGGTCTTAAATTTAAGTTTTTAAGCCATTTTGATTTTTTTTTTTTTATGGTGAGATACAGGGGTCTAGTTTCATTCTGCTACATACAGATATCTAGTTTTCTGGGCACCATTTACTGAAGTGACTGTCTTTTCCCCACTGTATGTTATTAGCAACTTGGTCAAAAATAAGTTCACCATGGGTATGTGGATTTCTTTCTGGTTCTCTATTCTGTTTCATTAGTCTATGTGTCTGTTTTTATGCCAGTACCAATTCTGTTTTGGTTACTGTAGGTCTGTAATATAATTTGAAGTCAGGTGATGTGATGCCTTCAGTTTTGTTCTTTTAGCTTTGGCTATTCTGGGTCTTTTGCGATTCCACATAAATGTTAAGATTGTTTTTTCTGTTTCTGTGAAGAATGTTACTGGTATTTTGATAGTGAATGTATACAGGGATTGAACTGAATCTGTAGATT